AGATTAGGTGATGAACTTTTAATTATTTGATTTAATTACATTAGGAGAATAACGAAACACCAACTCTATTCTGAGTCGCCGTTATCTGCATACAATCACTGTGATCATTCCTTTTTGTAAGGCAGTCCGGTTTGCGGAGGCTTAAACACACAGCCGTTGAGTTGGCAGGATATCCAAAAAGTTACTCACACTGGTTTTTTGGTGGCAGATTAAATCAAATGGAAAATGTACCTCCCCGCTCCGTCCCGGTCACCAGCAATGCATCCACTATCGGCACTATATGTTGTTACCTCACGCCCACACGCGACACAACCACTCATAACCCGGACATCACTCCTGCAACAACCCCAATCGCTAGGGTTCACCAATTTATACAAAGCAGGTGTCGGCTTATTTTCACACCCAAAATCTCTATAAATTCTTCCTGCAAGGCAAAAACGCAATCTCGTACCAGCGTTCTGCTGGACAGACTGCTACAGCAGACGTCCTAGCCCATAAGCGCACATCGGGTGGTGGGCGGCGGACAGTCCTCACCGACTAAAGACCTGCTAACGCTCTTCGCTCTTCGGCCCCGCACGCGGCTACACACCCACGGGGCGCGTCCACCTACATATAACATTTTGTTTGCGCCGCACTCCGGGCTGTACTCAACTGAATAGTATAATCCAAACATTCACAAGCAAAAAAAAAAAACAAAAAACTAAGAATTCCAGTACTGTCCTTGAATTCTCTGCTTGCCAAATGAGAAACTCGCTGGTACGGAACTTTAGACATCCCCGCCGTACTGCTGCACGCAGCGATCTCTCCCAGTCAGATTTTACACAGAAAGACGGTCGAGCTTAAAGCATGACCTAACGTAGGTGTGATAAATGGAGGCTGTGGAGCTTCAGATGTAGGCAGCTCTAAGGCAGATAGCACTGATATATCAAGATGTATGGGTTATATGTAATGCATTTTCCCCTCCCCCCTCAAACCTTCAGTACTGCATACAAATGTTTATTATATCTCGCCGCCCCGCTACTGTCTCCCAACCTCCCCCAGTTCCCTAAAAACTTAATCTTGCTCTCGCTCCCCACCTCTCTTCTCAGGTCTGTATCAGCCTCCTCTCTCTATCCAGTCACCACAGTACTGTAAAATCTTCTCCTTTGCCATGCGCACATAATTTGCGCGATATACGAGCTTAACTCCATATCATAAAGAAAGAGAGACGTTTTTTTTTCGTACGAGCCACACCCGGCATGGGGTCCAAAAAGCCGTAGTGCCGCTGTGTTGCATTCCTGCTGAAGAGAAAATCTCCCAAGTCCGTGTCCCAGTGCGCCTTTACCCCCAAGCGGGGCGACCCAAAAAAGAGCGGACACCCACACACCCCCATGTCACACTTTTCTCTTTCAAACATCTAACAGCAGATTAATAGGCTGTGCAACGGTGCGTGTCACGTGTGTAAACGTGCGCGGTGAACTATTGTGTGGGCATGTGTGTGTGCATTACCTAATTGAGCCATCACTGATATCTTGAGCAGTTACAGACTACACATTCAACTAGAATCCACACGCAGACACTTAAAGGTACAGTGGACGATTGTTGTCGGGCCTAAAATATTCCTCGATCTGTAATGCAAGAGGGGAGAGCGACACGATAAGCTCAACATAACATAAGACACACACGAAATACCACAGGGCAAGAGTTTGTAAGTACTGCACGTCCACATCGTGTCACTCAGATCCCGTTTTAACGTATATATCTAAAGCAAGGAGTGGTGAATGCACTAAAAACTTTCTCTCTTGCGAACACCATCAGAGAAAAAGCACAGCAAAGAAAAAGACACAGCCATACTCAGAATGGCCATTCAACCAGTGCACCAATAGATCATCCCCAGCGTTGTACACACCCATTTATAAAGTCCAACAAAATCACTATGCCGATATTTCCTCCTGCAACATTGGTGTATCAGTACTTACCTCTTGCCGTAATGATATGGACACTCACACAAACACCCTCGGGTCAACTTTTTCCAAAAAAACGTAGTACTAACTCTCTAGGCACAACCATTCATCTACGGCGTGATTCTCAGATATTTTGACGCCTCTGTTCTAGGCCACAAGTACCCTCTTGTTTCAGACTTAACCCGCATAACCTCTTCCCAAAGCCCAGCTCCTTTTATTGCCACCTCAGAGGTACCCACAAAATGGAGTCGACTATACTCATCGCGGCTCCCTTAGGCACCCAACAGTTCTGAAACGCAATCCCACAGTCATCACTCCACCTCCTTCCCCTCTGTCTGTCCCTACGCTTAAGTCTTCGACAGATCGCAACGCATGAAAAGTGCCATCAGTTTTAGCAGGAATTGCTAATCTTTTGCCCCTTGGTTTGTGGTGGAGTTAAGGCAACATCTCTGCATATATATGTATTTTAACAGAGATTATAAGAATGGAGTTTAACAAACCTGTCATATGCCAAGATATTAACGGTCCACCAAGGAGAGCGATGGGTGAGATCTGTAAGACAGGAGTACTTAAAAAAAATTAAAACCTGCCGTACGTATCTGGCAAAAACCACGGACACCTAAGAACTCTTTCCTGGAGACGAGAGCGAGCGAGCAAGATGGGAGATGAAACCTACGTTCCCAGGAAAGGATCCGGCACCAGCATTCATGTGTTAGATACGCACTCTAGTAGGCCATAATCAAACGGATCCTCCACAGCGGAGAAGTCAACCACTCTAGCGTGCCAAGGTATCTTCTATCACTGCTTCCGCAGGAGCTCTCTATTCCTCTTTCTGTCTATTCTTCCAGGGGGAGAGGCCATCAATAAAGTCGCAGGCGCGGCCCACACGATAAGAGAAAAAACAATAAAGATCTTCAAATCCACCATACATGTGCCCTCGAAATATCAGACTTTGTAGAAGACACAGCACGTCCGAGCAAAAGGGTTGCTGGGTTCTATGTAAAGATGGGACGTTTTTAGCATCTCGTGCATTGTGGGCGAAGCGTTTTTGATATTGTCATGCAATGTGTCAGGCTAAGAAAGTCGAGCGGACGATGCTGCTGTGGTTGTTGCGTAAATACATAGATAGTTGTTGCCAGCTGGTGCACCATTTGTCTGGTTCGTGTCCAGTGACAGTCATGTTCGTGGCCCACCAATCCCTCCGCCTATTCTGTTCGGTCGCGCTCGAGCCTCTTACACGCCCCGAACCTACCGCATCACTAAAGACTGAGAAATGCTCGTCCCGGAGCCAAGCGTTCTCTCTGTGGCTCCAACAGTGTCTTTTACAAAGATGCCATTATAAGTGTGCTTCGTCGTGTGGAGCTCTGGTGCGCGGCCTGTGCCCATCTGTTAGTGTATTTGATTGTGGGGTGAAAGTTGTGTCGTTAGTGACTCACAACTGACCTGCCGATCGATTTGCTATCAACCAGAGGTTGAAGGGAACCATCACAGCTTCTCATAGACAACCTAGTTCTTCGTATTGTCCTATGTCCGGTCCTGACAATCATCCTTGCCAGTGCACTCCCAGTTCAGACCTCTCTCAAAGGTCACATGCACTGCTAACCCCTTTGCTGATCAGAGTAAAAGAACGATCAGCAAGGCCTTACTGTATCTGTATATCAAGCTAATTAGGACTGCGCTTATGTCGCTGATTGGGATACAAACACAGATTGAATGCGATTGAAAATTAAATTGTTGGATGTGTGTTTTGATTAAAATTACGAGAAGGAACACCAAAAAAATATGCGTGAGCGACAAGGAGCAGAATAAAGCAAAAAAAACAGCCGAGGAACAAAGCAATTTCTATGCTTAAGCGGCCGACAGATCATGACACTAAAACCCCAATTCTAAACTCAAGAAACACGGAAGCGCGATACGAGGTGTACCATGGCGATGGTAAACACCTAAGCGCCTGCTGGAATGAAATCCTCGCAAATACAAATCTGCGTGTAAAGCCGACTGAACAGGACCCTCACACATCACACAGCCATGTCTGTTCTAACAAGGCTACTGAACTGACTCACACAGTGCATTGAATCAAACAGAGCAACAACAACAGTAACAACAAACATCAACTACCAGCTACAGTAGTATTCGAGCGCTCCCGTTCTTGAACAAGATTTCCTTATCTCGTCCTCTCTACTAGCACAATAAATTTTTTGGATGAGAGCGTGGTGTTTCAGGGAAAGAGGGATACTAGTATATCAACTTGATCTACTTTACAAATTCAATAAAACCGATGAGAGAAGAGCCAATATCGAGCGAAATGAGACTGATATATACCGAGCGATTGCTTCTGATAGGGAGTGACACAATCATCCCCTGTTACATTATCATCATGCCTTCCGGATCTATTAGCCTTGCAGACCCAAACATGATGGAATTGTCGAGTATGGGGGATTAAATTGAAAAACTGCTTGTAGTCAAAGTCTACCATCTATATAAAGGTTATTCGTCAACCTATTAGATGGTCCACGGATGGCCATAACATAACTCACTCATCGTTATCCACCCTCCAGTCCGTCTGCGTCGTGTCACCGATTTAGGCCGCGTCTGAGTTGTGTGTCTAGCTCGCCTGGTGACTAGAATTCACAAAATTCGAGGCTTAAAATGAACATACCAGCACTATAACCTGTTAATCTTCACTTCCTCCGTCCCGTCCGCCACCGCCATAATTCTTTCTTCGTTGTCTGTTTGATACGCGAGTCCCTGATTACTAAATTCTCTGAACAGTCATTCACATCCGTTAAATTACTCCAACTATCCTTACCTTTCCTACCGCTCACACTCGAGCCACTTACTATCCATTCGCAAAGCTCATGGTTTCTTCGCCATCTATATCCGCAACCGATCCCAGACACGGCACCCTCCAACATACCCCCGAAAGTCTTACCATCGAGACGAGCAGCACAAGAGGGGAGGTGTCATAGCACAGAAGACAGACGGGCAAGATCGCAGGCGGAGTGGTAGCGACCTGGCCAGATCAGAGGGAGCGGGAAGGTAGAGCGGGGGGGGGGGTTGAAAAAAAAGAGCGAGAAATGGATAAGTGGGGGAGTGGAGCGGGAGGAAAGGTAAGGATAGCTGGAGGAGAGAATGAGAGAATGAGTAATCAGACAGTAATCAAACAGACAGAAACAGAAAGAATGGGGGTGGCGGACGGACGGAGGAAGAGAATAAGGGAATGTGCTGGTTCCACTATGAATTTTGTAATCTATCACCAGGCAGTAACACAAGGGCTAAATAGGGTAGACACGAGCAGAGAGACTGGGAGAGGCTGGGAAAGAGAGAGTTATGGGGCCTCGAGACCAATGGATCAATACCATATCGACTTATACAAGCAGATCAATAATCCCCCAGCTGACAAACCACACAGAATACTTGCAGGTATGATGCGGGGATGTGTCACCCCAATCAAGCACACCGGTAAGTCTCACTGCGTTCCAACGGTCCAAATGTAAAGAGAAAGAAACTAGATCCCCTCCCCTGAAACACACGCTCCTCCATCAAAAATGTGTGTGCGTGAGAGGACGAGAAAGAAATGGCAACGAGAGCAATACAAGTAGCTGTAGTGAGGTGTTGTACTGTTGTTTTTGCTGAGGTTACAGTAGTAGTCGTAGTAGCAGTGACAGACATGGCTTTATAAGTCTGTATCGGCTTACACAGGAAGTGCAGAAATTCCAGCAGGCGCTTGTTTTCTCGCAACACCTCCTCCCTGTTTTCTTGCTTTAAGGGGATCTAAATTTGTCATGATCTGTCGGCCGTAACAAAATGAGCCTCGGATGTTTTTTTGCTTTTTTTCCCCTTTCCCCATTTTTTTTGTGTTCCTTCTCGTAAATTTAATCAAAACACACCCAACAATTTAATTTTCAATCACTGTGCCATCTGTTTTTTTTCCCTCGGACATACAGTACACAAATTACTGAAAGAAGTACACGATCAACACAGTTACTTACATCAGGCAAAGGGTTAGAGAGGAGAGGAGGGTTGAATGATTGGCAGCTGATTTCAGACGACATAGACAATACAAACTAATGTCTATGAAAGACAGTGTTTCCCCACCTAGTGCAATGAGGCACGTATAGTACACACACACACATTCACACACACACACACAAAACACACAAAACACACACACACACACACACAAACACACATAATGGCTCTTTGTAAAGACACGGGACAGAAGACACGCTTGGCTCCGAGACGAGCATTTCAGTCTGTGGATGCCGGAGGTTCGGGGAGTGAGGGAGGCGAAGACAGAAAAAGGACGAGGGAGTTGGTGAGCACAGAAACATGTCACACACAAGTCACAAGTGACACCACAGGCATACACACAACACACAGACACGCACAAATACAAAACAAACACGCCCACAAACACAGAAACACACACTAATAAAAGCAACACGGACGTGTGTGTCCTTCTAAAGTCTTTTCAGGGACATGATGTGGATTTGAAGATAATCATTTTCTCAGTTGAAGCTGGACAATGACTTCCCGAGAAAAAGAAAAGGAAAAAAAGTCCTGGAATGATAGAAAAATAAAGTAGAGTGGTGATATCCTTCCCTGTGGAATACATCCTCCAGCGAGTGCAATCCAAACAGATGCTGGTCCGATCCTGAACGTAGGTTTCATTCAACCTGTGTAGTCCTACGTCAGGAAAAGTCTGTCGGTTTGGCCAGAAAGCAGAGGATTATCGACTAGTCCATGTCTCTCAGAATCTCACACCATCGCATCCTTGGTGGACCGTAAAAACTGGCATGAATAAACTCCTTATATGTATACTGTATCACACAAACAAGGAGGCAAAAAATAAAATAAAAATAAAACTGATGAGCACCATGAGGACTGTGACAAAAAGCATGAGGACGAGGGACACATTTCAAGGTTGCGTAACATGCTTAAACCGATGAGTATGTCCTCATTTTTCACTCCTCTGACATCAATAAAGACCACTGGACGCTTTGTCGTCTTTCCTCTGGGGAAAATAAGCGAGTTAAGTCTGAAACAAGAGGGTACGGTGCCTGAAGAAGGCGTCCAAAATGGTCAAGAGAATCCACCTCGGATGTTTGTCCTGCTAAGTACTACGTGAGACGTTTTCCCATACAGTACGGCATATACTGTACACCAATGTTGCAAAGAAAAATATCGACATAGTGATTTTCTTCTTTTATAGTCTGTACAAGGGCATGAACCTTTGGTCCTGGTTGAAATGACCATTCTAGGATGGCTGTCTTTTTTTTTCTTTTTTTGTTTTCAAGAGAGAAAAGTTTATCACATCACACTCCTCCTAGATGAAATACTACACTAATCTGAAGCACACATGAACTACGCACATACTACAAACTCTGTGTGTATTCGTGTGTGTCTATGTGTGTGTGACTTATGTGTGCGTTCCCTTGCTAGATCCCAAATTTACACCCGAAATCAGTCCTACTGTACCATTTAGTGTCTGCGTGTGTTTGTAAATGTGTAGTCTGATGCTCAAAGTGTAGCTTGTGATGGATGATGTTGTTGTTTTTTTTTCCCCCGGCTTGGTAAAGACAGCACAGGACTTGGAGAATTCATTAGCAGGAGCAAAACAGCACTAGCAGTTGGACACTAGCAGTGTCTCCGCGTCTCTCTTTCTTTGATGGAGAGAATTATTCACAGATGAGAGGAAAGAAAGAAAAGTCTGGAGCTGGAGAGATGATAATGACCTGAGGAAAGAGGGAATAAGGGAGAAGAGGCAGATTAAGCGAGAGAGAGACAGTAGGGGGGCGAGAGAATATATAAACAGTATGCAGTACTGTAAGTTTGAGGGGAGGAGGGGGAAATGCATTACATAACCCATAACATCTAGATTATACAGATGCTTCTGCCTTAGAGCTCCTACATCTGACAGCTCCACAGCCTCCACTTTATCACACACTCACAGTTAGGTCATGCTTTTAAAGACTCGACCAGTTTTCTGTGTAAATCTGACTGGAGAGCATCTGCTGCACAGTACGTGGATGTACTTAAAGATTCCAGTACAGCGAGTTCTGTTTGCAAGCAGAAATCAAGGAAGTACTGGAATCTATGTGGAATGTTGATATACTTTCAGTATACACCGATAAAAAAAATTATATGTCAGATCCAAACCAGGAGAGGCTTACAGATTTAGTCGGAGTGAGGACTGTCCACCACGATGTGCGGCTTAGGGGAGGACGCTGTAGCACTCTTCGACACAAATGTACCAATTGCTTTTTCCTGCAGGAAAATAGAGATTTTGCTTGACAAAAAGAACCACCTTTTATACATTCAGTTGAAATAAATTATATTTGAATATGATATTATATGTTTTTCCCTCTGCTATTACCACAACTAAGTGCCATATACTCAATTCCTGTAACGGAATGAATAACATCTCATTTGTTTAATCTGCACAAAAAACAGTGTGAAGTAAACTTGTTTTGGTTTTAAGGCTTGTATGCTAAGCCTAAGACAGTGTTGCCTTGTTTCCATATTTATGATACATGAATTATGGAGAGTTGTTATCCCAATGCAAATAAAAACAAAAACATACTTTTATTCTAACTTCTACTATGGTTTTCTTAAGTTATATAATAACTACCCTAAATATTTTTCATTACTGCTACCTTAATGTTACTGTACCATTACTCCTGTACCACTATTACTGATACTACTATTGCTATTCTTAGTCGTATCACCGCTCCTGCTACTACTACTTCTAACGATAATGAAAATAATGATAAAATCATTTTGGTTATGAGGCCCAGAACCGATAGCAGTACTGAGCATAACATATGTGGACGAGTCATGTGGTATGAGATCGCATACTCTTATGGATGCACACACACATTCTAGTCACGCTCATAACACTTATGAACACACATGTATCACACGCTCATTACCTCCACAAGCTGATGCCAGTGCTTTCTATTGGTTGCGTGGATTGGCCAGCATGTGCCGCCCCAGTGCCCTCCCGGACCTTCAGCTTCGCTGCCCACACGACACATCCCTATAACCTCGTTATGACCAATACTGACACGCAGCGAGGGGATGGAGGTCAAGGACAAGGAGACAGGAGAGAACGAGAGAGAGGAGAAGAGAGGACGGAGAGAGAGAGGAGAGAATACACAAGGGAAGGGGGGTGGAGAGAGGGAGAGAGCGAGGATGTAATAAAGCAGGGAGAGAGAGGGAGACAGGGCTTGTAAGAAACAGGCAGAGAGAGTCTCATTTATCAACCTTGAGCAAGGAAGGATATTGAATAGCAGCTCACAAATACACACAGCCCTGCATAAAAGCTTGATGTCAGCGGGGGAGCAGGCACGAGCAGAAACATACAAAAGCACACACCTATGGAGATGCCAAATGGAGGGCAGACTACATAATAGGGAGGCGGTGCATCTATACACAAACACATCAACCAGCCAAGTGTTGCTGCAAGCAGCAGACAGACAAACACTGGCAGGGTTACACTCCTTCCTTCACCATTAGCATAAATCATGCGTATTCATGAGGTGCCCGTCTATGTAAAACAGGGAACGTCCACCAGGAGGCTGACTCATGAGGGGGCCCTCGTCATGTTCAACACAGCCGCAACCTCATCAAAATGTGACAATCCAAAAGTAACAGCTAACATTACACTGCATGTGCAAACACACATTCAGCACACTTCACAGCGATGATCTGTTTCATCTTAAAGCCCCCAGAGCACGCTACAATATCATTAAATCTCGGCTTGCTCACCAGTCATAGTCCATCACTGCGATGATGATGGATACACTTTCTATATTTTCATTGGGAATGTCAAACACCAGCGCCTCGTTGTACGTGGGGTTCAGGGTGTTCTTCTTAATGGAGGTCTTCCTCTTTTTTAGCCTTCGCCCGTCACAGATCAGAGAGGCCTTCACGTACGGGTCTGCAGGAAGAGACAAGAGAGAGAGGGGGACAAGGAAGATGGCAGGGTTGGGAAAAAAGATAGGGAACAATAAAGGGAGTAGCGGGGAGAAAAAAGGTAGGAAGAGAGGGATGTGGGATGAAAAGCAGTGAAGAAGACAGAGAAAGAGGGGGAGGAAGCGGAGAGAAAAAGATAAGGGGGGACTCCTGCAAACGCTGTTAGGTATTATGCTCACAGGTATCTGCGTCTGTAACACATAAAAGGCATGAAAATCAAGTCACCTTGGCAAAGCTGGATTAAGAACACAAAGGTAGAAAAGCAGCACAGGTTGAATCACTCCAGTTATCCATTCAACATGTGCAGCTCGCTGACAGCAGCCAGAAAAAACACACACACACACACACGCACACACACGCACACACACACCCACGCCTGCTGCATTTTTAAGCATCTTTGAGGCACTGCAATCATCTTGGGATCACTGTGGCAATAATAACGGCGTGTGGTCATTATCATTTGAGATCTCATTTAATGTGAGAGGGCATTGCCGTTGCAATTGTCAAGTCTTTAAGTGAAGGATAACAAAAGAATAAAGACTTTTTATACTGCCTTTGTTAGTTCAATATTAGCATTTGCAATCACATTTCTTGGTATGAGTCTAACGGGTAAAACTATTGCTGTTTTTGTCGATTTTTGCAGACATAATTGGTGCTACACCTGCAGCTGACTTTGCTTGAAACAAAACACATTGTAACATTTCTTACTGGTTGTTGTGTTTGTGACAAATGAACTTTAGAGCTGCAGGTAATATATGCATAATGTATAAACTCTACCTCTAGTGCTTGAAGGAAAAAATCTACCCTCAGATTCTCTTGCACAGTTAGAAACGATCAATCTGGCGATGCTCGATGCACTTCTGGAATTTTTAGCAAAGATATATGGTAATTTACTTCTTGGCACTTTCCCTTAATGTGCTTCATCTAACTCTACTTCATTTCGTGATTTAGAAGATCTTGAAAATGTTCTATCTGATAATTATTTTTGCGCAAACTTTTCGGTTTTACTTGCAAGAGGAGGGAACAATTAGTAAAAGTGAAGAGTTTTACAGTAAAAGAGGGATTCCTCAATTAAAACAACATACGGTGTCTTGCAGCTGCATTGCATTCTGGTCCATTGAGGAAACCGTACTCTTTTCTTCCAAGAAACTGGTTTCGTGCCAGCTATTATTCTGCAAGTTTGGCCATTTATCACTTAGAATAAGACATAAACCTGAAGGAACTGAATTGATGATACATCAACATACATCATCAGCAGCTGTTTTTAGACAGTGTTAAATCTTTTTTCTGTCATTTTCTTTTCCTTTAAATGACTTTCCGGTCAGATTGCTTGCTGGAGATCTCGCAGCAGCACGATGTGGGTGTGTTAATCCTTTACCTGAGAAGCCAGTGAGGTCCATGGCTTTGAGGTTGGTGGCCTTGATGATTGTAGCAGTGAGCCTGCCTGCAGTGGGCAGGTAACACAGCGAGAAATTAAGCTCCCCGAGATCAGCCTTCTCCTGTAGGTCACCACACACACAGACAGGGATCAGAAATGAAGCTAGGATGGTGTGATCACACACACACACACACACATGGCTTCAGAAACAGAGTCAGATAGGAAAAAACACAAACTGACAGATATCCTTTGGTTTGCTATGATTGTCTGTGGCCAGAAAAGAGCTACATCTGTGACTGACGGCGAGTGACAGCAGGCGTCCTAATGTGGACAGGCAGAGTGTTTAGGCGGAGGGGAAGTGCCGTCACTGTAAATGAATCATATGCCAATCTGTTGATGTCCCTGAGTGGAGGAAAGTGTTAAGTAGAGGTGACGATTCTCCAGGCTTTTTATAACTCTCCCCCCTCTCCCATCTACTGATCTTCTCGCTGCCTGTGGTCTCAGTGGCACCACAGTAATGACACCGGTGGTATTCAGGTCACACTGTGGCATGATGACTCCTTAGTGGCTTTGAGCCTCACCAATCAATACCCTGGGTGAAACACTGAAATACGCAGACAGGCTGATGCTTTAAACTTTTTTAATAAATGAAATATCCATGCCAAAACATTTTAAGACTTTGCTCTGTCTAATTTGCTAATAGCCTTCTATGAATATTTCATATAAATCTACTTGGATGCAGTTTAGATGTAGCCGCAGTGCCTTTCCAGTAATCTATCTGGACTCTCCTGTGCTGTGTTTTTACATTACTCAACTCTGAATTAATCTACTCTGCAGACAGTTTCTAGCCTGCACATTTTTTGTGCATCCTCTCTATACAGTATGAGTATATGGTATTCAAATGAGAGCAAAGACAGACTGTAATCATTTGAATCCTGTAAGAAATTGCAAACTTAAAGGTGCTGTAAGTGATATGTTTTTTTGTTTAAAATAAGTGTTATATAGCTCTACCATCCAAAAGCCATCACTGATATAAGAGTGTTTAGTCAGTAACATGGGTCTCCCAGTCCCTCCTTTCTGCAGTTAACAGAGAATATGTTTTCTGGTATCCCGTTCCCACTTTATCCAATCAGGAGAGAGAACGTCACAAAGAGCCAGTCTTTAAGGACAGGCAGCAGAATTTCAGTGTGGTGACGTGGGGAAGAGGGAGAGGACACTTGAGATAGTTAATCTTGAAAATGTAAATACCACTTTATAAACTAAATTTATGTTGTTTGAATTTCTGTAATTGCCAGAAAATCATTTCAAGTTTTGAGTGTTCAAGTGTATGAGTTTTGAAACTCATATGTGCTCACATTTGCATACATCTTGTTTATATTTGGCTTCATACTCCCAAATGATTTTTGTACATTTTAACCTTTATTTTTCATCTATTTTCTCTTTCTTCGAAGCTGTAATTCAGATTCATTTTCATACCATGAATGCATGCATGTCTACTTGAAATCTAGAATTGAAACTGTCATGTTTGATATGCTCCAATCCTGGTTCTATTTTATCTATCACTGCCTTGGCCCATAATTTGCAGCTGCAGCGGCCCGATATCGCCACAAGGCTCATTCAAATTTCATCTAGTCTAATCTAACGTGGCCATCTCTTCGAATGAATGTGATTATTTTTGGTTTGTTTCTGTGGCAGAGATTCGTCCTTACCGCGGTGCCCTCCACGATGTCCCTCCAGACAGGCTTGTCCCCGCTGCCCTCACTGAAGTCCAGCAGGTTGTCCACCACTACCTGGCCTATCAGGTCGTGTCTGGAGAAGCGGTCGAAGTCGTACACAGAGAAATGCAACTTCCTGGAATGTAGCTCATTCAGCGGCACGCCGAACTGAAACGTCTCGTTGAACACTGGGTTTAAGGTCTTTCTGTGGACCTGAGAGAGAGACAGACAGTTAGAATTTACACTTACAGTGTAATTATTTTGTACATACGGGATACCAATGACATATTTACTGGGCAGGTACATGGGAATTAGTACAGGGAATAAGGGGGGGGAACAAACACGACATTAAAAATGACATTATTTCACAGCCTGTAACGACACTATAATTACAGTGAAAAGGGGGTTAACAAGGGACTACTTTCTTTCACAGCCCACATAAACCAGACTTAAAATGTAATAAGGGGTGCTTTCTCCCACATTTTCAATGCTTTGTCTGGATTGTGCAATGCTGTTCCTCAGTTGGGTTTATGCATGCATTCTTTTTAAAAGCAGTTGGTAACACACAGACAAAAAACGTTTAATCCGTTGATTATATGAACAGCCCGCCACAGTATTCCTTATGTACAATAAACTAAAAAAATTGTGAGTGAAAGTATCTGGCTCCTTAACCTTTTATGATCTGTTCATCTGATCATAAAAGGACGTTAAAGTTGGTTTACGTTCTTCTGTAACATCCATTTTGTGCATCAGATTGGTTCAACCTTGGATCCCAAAACTGCTTTACTTTCCCATATTTTATCATTATTAATACTATAGCTACAGTACAGATAGGCGCCTTTCTCCGTGGGCCTTAACAATAACTATGAAAGCAGTTTTACACAATTTTCCTGCCCAATAAACCACTTCTTCCCAAACCTGCCTTCCTCCCTTACACCTACATATTTGTCTCTGCATTGGTTCCCTACTAAGTATTTTATTGATACTCGGTATATACTGAATAATTACACAGTAATTTGTGTGCTGTAAAGCGTCAGCAAAATTCATTTTCTGGCCTCGCCCCAATTCATTGCATTCCAGTCACAGGAATGTACCGAGGATTCCTCAAAGATAACTTCAAGCCAGATTTTGAAAAAGCCAGCAGGTTGTTTGACAACACTTAAGGCTGTTTTGAAGATGTGTCCAGAATCCTCAAAGAGCCTTGTGTTTTGCTGGTATAAAAAATATTCTATCCACTCCACAGTAAAGTACATTTTCAACCTGGTTTACAAGGTGAGACTTTCTTCAACCAAACAGAGTGGAGAGGCAGAACAAGGGATTCTGGATATGTCTTATAAAACACACTAAGTGCTGTCAAAGTTTGTCGTGTGGCTTTTATCTGTGACTCAGATGTCTCATATGTAAAAACTGTACTTATCAAAGTGGCACCAAACTGGAGCTATATTTGGTTAAAATCATTTTAATTGAAAGAAATAAACTACAAGATCCTCATTTTGTCTTTCTCTACTTACTGAGCTCTCATTGCTGTGGTGTTTCTGCTGAATCTTTTTCCTTAGATTTCGGCGAGTGGTGTTTATTTATTTATTTAGTTGGTTTTGTTTTGTTTCCTGTTATATGCTCCTGCAAACCACAAATTCTTCTTCTATCTAAATTGGAAACATAAAAGCCATCACTTCCTATGAACCAAATGTTTATTTCTCGGAGAAGAGCTACCAGAGACTGGCTGTGAAAATAAAAGCTGTGATTAACTGCCATTTTGATGAATCACATTGTGCTAAAAACAGCAAAACAGACATTTAATTATTTTAAATGAATTTACATTCCTACAAAAATAAGCCACATCAGGACACGGAATAGTCTGGAGGGGTTTGTGGCAACACCTGCTGAAATGTCCTTCAGCAATATAATTAACCTCTGCATGTACCACACTGGCTGACCTTGTTCCTCGGCCAGAAGGAGAAAAATGAATTTCACCTTTTTTTGTTGGATGAAGAATCAAATCAAACCTGCAGAAATGAAATAAAGACTTCAAACTAAATTTAAAACTCAATATTTGATGTCCCAACACGTACGAAGGTAGAGGTTTCTTCCTTTTAAATGTTCACAACACATTTCATATAGGTAACTCGATTTATTTTTCTCTGTCACCTCTATAACATGTCAAACAGGACGGATCATTTTAAATCAGAGAGTGCAGCCTGATGGAAAGCGGGAGGAAGAGGGGAGGCTGCAATTTCCTGCTCATCATATTTTAACACATCACAGATGACATTTGTAAATTTGTCTTCAATCTCCAACACATTTTATTTTTTACTGTTTGTTGATTTACAGTTGGGATTTATGTGCTATGAAAGCATTTGATATAAATGTTGTCATATAATAAAGCCTGAGATAATTAAAATGTGACACACACTCGATTTTCCAAATCCAACTTTTGTCGCTGCATGAGTGGGTCTGTCACTCTGGCTTATTAGCCCTTGATGATTACTTGTTAGCTTTGGATTAAACATGCAGCGGATGGAGACGCTGTGCCTTTAGAAACCAGAAACACAAAGCTCGAACATCTCCTCGTAGGTGATGTCTGTTTCTCTTTTGAAATTAGCTGGAGGGATAAAAGCATGGCAAAATATGAGAGGTGTAAAAAATCCCATGTTAATGAGGATGTGATTGAAATGAAACAATCATCTACAGCCTAAACAAAAGAGGAGCAGTATTATGCAAATGAGTGAAGCATTCACACTTTTCAATGGCTGAAGGGGGCTTTTGTGATATACAGGAGACAGTCACACAAAGGGGAGAAATTTCAAACTGGTACAGCTTCATTGTCGATGAAAGCTCACACTTTCCTGGCTCTGCAGTCAGTTCTGACCCATTTCAGCTTCAGAATTTCTCCCTGTTCTATCCCAACATTGAACAAAAGTACTGCTGATATTTATGGACATACAACAGAGAACTACAACTCACATTTGTGAGGCTACTGAGCTCATAAGTCTTGAGCTTCTCCACTGAGAATAAATTAGAAGAGAGGAGGATTTGTTTTGGGTTTTTTTTGGGCTAAGGGTACATTTCCTGGTACAGAACGTCCTGAAATGTGCTCAAATATTGACTCAACTGTCCTCAAACACCAGAATAACACACAGGAGCTAAGTAGCGGTGCCCTGTAATAGTCTGAAGCACATTATCTTGAATAAATTATGCCCCAGATTAGATTAGATTACATTAGTGAAACTGTAATGATTCCCCATGAGGAGACGGGGTCACCAGAGCGGCAGAGAGAGAGAAAAAAACAGTGAGAGGATGATGTTTAAATGTTTTTTTGTTGTTTTGTTTCCATAGCATTAAGACTGCAGTTTGCCACTGAGGATACAGGTAAGTGTGGGAGTCACCTTGGTCTGGAATTTCTTCTTCCTGTCTGGCAGTAGGTAGATTTTCACGTATGGGTCAGAGAAGCCGTTGGCATCCTTCGCTGGCAGGTCCAGAGCTTTCAGGATCTTCACCACCAACTGCTCCGTACTGACACACACAAACACACACACACACACACACACACACACACACACACACACACAGCAAACTCCATTAGACTTTCACAGGTTCATTAAAAGGCATAAAAAGGCAGGGTTCACATCAATTTACACAAATACCAGGATCAATCCACACCCATCACCTGTGTGTCATACATACACAATGGCGTGGGAAGTTCTGTGTCTCTGGAGCAAGGAATAACCAAAATAGCACATGTGTGTGCATGTGTGTGTGTGTGTGTGTGATTCATCCCTACAGCTGTATCATGGTTGCACTATCAGCGATGTTAAATGTAAGCACAGTAAGCACAGATGTACAGCCAGTGAGAGACTCTGGCCAAAGCTGAGCTCATTAATAATCTTTAACACAGTAGCCCTTAGTCTACACTCACTTTGGGCCACATATACAGAATTGTTAATGCGTAAGAGACTAATATAAAATCCACAAAAAACAAACAAACAAACCCATGCTAGCATTAGACTGGCCTTTCACTAAACCTTCCACTATCAGTATCATCGACACTGGAGCATATTTGTTTGATTGATTGTATATTTCTTGATCCACAAGGGGTCTGAGATTAATCTAAAGGGTCACAGATGATTAGTAGGGCAGAAAATAATAAAACAAAATACTGCTGCACAAAATTATGTTAAAGCACCAGTGTGTAGGATTTACTGGCATCTAGCGTTGAAGTTTCAGAATGCAACTAACTGAACACCGCTGGCACCTGTATTTGGCAACCTGGGAATGAGAACGGGCTAGGAAAGTGTATAGGAGAAACTACAGTGGCTGCGAAATGTTATTGTTATTGGGCTTTTTGTTCCGGTCAGGAACCTGTTATGAGGGCGTAATAATGGCTTTATATTACCATTATTATCATAAGTAAAAGAAGCCCTTAAAGGTGGGGTCAGTCATTCTGGAGAAGGTGTTGATTGTTGAGTCAACATATCATATCGTAAACTGATTATAAAGGAGCATTTGATTTGTTTTATTTTCCTTCTACCCTTATTTACTTGGAGGCAAAATCTGTAATCCAGCTGTAAACAATCGTGTAGCTCCAACACTAAAATTTAACACCTTTTTTGATGCTGCTAAAGGTGCTGGACGGATGCTGTTTAATTCATTTAATTGTAAACACCGGAGTAAATAGCTTTATTAGTAGTCTACGCCCGCAACTCATCATGATTAATTGCTTGGTCCTTAAAATGTAAGTATAGTGAAAAATGCCCATCACAGTTTCCTTGGGTCCAAGGTGAAATCTTCACCCAAAGCTAATTAGTTTACTTTGGTATAAAACAGAGAAAAACAGCTAATATTCACATGTGAGATGCATTTTTTAAGCATTTTTGCTCATCTCAAGTTCAAAGTGCTGGTTTCTTTCACAAGAATAAAATGCTAAAATCTCTGAGATATTTTTTGGCTTAAAAATGTTGAAAGATAGCGAATATAAGTAAAAAGCTCACGAATATGCAAGCATAAACAGTCACGTGAGCACACATAATACAAACGCCTTTACATTCAAATACTCCATCCACAGTCACGACTGCGTCTCACGCGCCATTTATTATGTATTTAATTACCAGATGAAGATGAGGACAGCTCGGAGGCCTTTAATCAGACCTCGTTAGACTGTGTCTCCCCGTGTTAACCAGTGTGTCAGCACTTCATTAGCTGCTTTAGGCGGGCAGCATGAACTTTGGGGCAGAGCAATGATAAACAGGGCAAACGCCAACAGTGACCCCGGCAGTTATAATGTCTTCTGTCCATGTGTACCAATCACATATAAGACACGCTTGTTGACAATACAAACGTGACCAATAACAGACACGTGTTTACCTCTGAATCACATCCAATTAAGGCAATCGGATAAACATGCCCACTCTGCAATCACATCAAATCAGGGAGATGATATACAGGGCAAATTGCCAGAGGAAATTACATTTCCAGCTCTGCCAGATAAATATTTTAACGAGAAAACCCTGACCAATTCAAATGTGTATCTAATGATCTTTAATCCTGCATGATTTTGAGACATGATGGTGGTAGAGAGTCTGCAGTCACCATAATTATCCAGTGTGGTTCACAGCAATGCTCTGATGTACAATAATTGGAAACGACAGAAAGCTTGTATACAAAAAGAAACCCAGCCCTCCTTGCTCATCGTGACTTTTCTTGCATTTGTTGTTTATTCAAAGGCACATCTGCAGGTTTTCCTGCACTCACGTGTCTTATTACAGAACAAGAGCTTGAACCAAATCCAAGGTTTTTACACAATCCATGAGGCATGCTGCAGAGAATACACCTATTACTGCTCCAGCAGAGAGCAAAATTCACGGCCTTATTCCTGGCAGACAATGCCCGAAAGCTAGCTGTTATTCCCACAGTGGAAATGTGTCAGCTTTTAATGGGATTGTCAATAGAAATGCCTTTCCCAGAGGATCTGAGAAAGATTGACATTGTTGTTCTGACTGTTACACTCCGAACAGCAGGGCCTCACACATTAACATACCAATCTTATCACAGTCCCAGTGCTAACACGTGTGCTTCCACACACACCCTCACACACTCGTCTTGCAGGTACATCTCTAACCTTTCTTCTCTATTCCTCAGTCCCTCCCTCTCTTAATTAATTTATTAATTAACTAATGCCTTCCTGTCTTATGTAAAGCCCTTTTGAATTGCCTTGTTGTTCAAGGGAGCTATAAAAATAAACTTGCCTTGCCTCTTCTACTCTTCTCGCTAAAACAATTTCCCACCAGTGTAATGACAGGCAACTACAGCGTGACATAAATTATCTTGTGACTATATAAATGGGAAAAAGGGACACATGAATAGTTTTCATCATTAACCTCCCTCTCCATCCAACTCCTTGCTAATTCTCTATATCTGTAACTCCAGCTATAACACAGTCTGGTGTTATTATGTGTTGACAGGGGCTGCTGTTTAAAGTGGCTTACCATATATAATTCATGACTCAAACGGCCTCTCTCGCTCCCTTTCTTTTCTAACCATCAGCACTTTCGCCTGTTGTAATGTTTCTACATGTCGGGGCAGGCAAAAATGGGGGACTGCCAGCTGAGCTGCAGACAGACACACCAAGCGAGCTGCACACACCGCACAACCCACAACTACCTCCACTTACAGTATACACACACACACACTCATAAACACACACTCCTATCACCCAGTACTCACAGCATGGCATCCACCAATTACATACTTAGTTTTCCAGCAGAGAATATTCAAGAGAGAATCGTCAAAAGAGCAAAATGAAAGTAACTACAGCAATCTGTGCCACACAGTACATAAAAGACACTGATGCCGCTTTGTCACTTGCATATAATGGGACCAATTTCTTATTTTTAGACTTTTTTAATATTTCAGTATGATTATAATTAACAAACAGACCACAGTCGAGACAACAGCTACCAGCCTCCCGTCTCATGCTAGAGATATGTCAAGTTTCTTTTCTCCATAAAACCTGAATGCTCACAGTCTCAAACTCAATTTTATACTTGAATTGGAAGTTTTCTTTTTGTGTTCGGTGAAGAGGATAAACTCGCTGAAAGATAAGAAGCACCATCTCTCTGTTCTGTGCCATAAAGGCATTCAGCAAACCAGTGTCTGTTTGCAGCCCTCTGACTTAGGCTACATTCACACAGCAAGCTTTAGTGCTCAATTTGGATTTATTGCTTAGATCCGATTTGTCGAAATGTCACCAATATTAGATTCCAGTGTGAACTGGTCACGTTCCTAAACCGAGGCCACAGAAGTCTGTTTTTGCAGTTTCATTTATAAGTTGATGTAGAGTGGAAACGAGCAAATTTGTGAGCAGATGAGATGTGTGTAGAAAGAAGTGGCGGGATCATTATCTCAATGGCTTCACAGAAACACATTTTATTTTAAATTTCAGGATGTCAAGGGCTACTTTTAACTTCATCTGCCAGTGCATCTCCATAAGACACTCACAGCAAGACACTTCAGGCGAGTGAGTGAGGTAAAAGTCACATTAATTCAGTGACATTCCCACTGCAAAAAATCAGCCCTGTATCGGATGTAGGACTACTTATGAAAGTGGTCCAAATCAGAATTGAAAAGATTAGATTCCATATGATTTGTGGAGATCTTAGTCAGATATGAGCAACAGAATTGGGTTTGGGGCACTTGTGCCTGCAGTCTGAACGCAGCCTAACCCCCAAATTCCACTGGACAGACCATCTCAGAAGTTTCTCAAAAGTGTCTCAAAAGTGTCTCAAAAGTGTCTCAGAAGTGTCTCAGAAGTGTCTCAAAAGTGTCTCAGAAGTGTCTCAGAAGTGTCTCTCTGCTCTGCTCCACATAGAATATACGCGACTGGTCTATTTTTGACTGAAGCGGCAACCCAGTCAAGCAGCACAAAGCAGATCGCACATTCAATTTTCAAAATAAAATACCTTGTGCAGACTCCGGAATGAATTTCACGCCAAATCAACATTGTGGCACCAGGCCAGAAGTCAATCAGTCAGAGGCAGATTAGAGGAGATTTTGAGTGGAGAAACACACAATTTTGTATCCTTTTTTAAGGACAAAATACGCAAGTAAACTCTTCTTCGCTTCTGAAAAACAACACACCCTCGGTGGGATCTGAAGACAGATGCAACGTTATAAAGTAGTGCCCGGTGGAATTTCAGGGTTTGAAAAACTACACACCCCCCGCTAGGATCAAAGTGGTGCAAAAATAGACGCATTAACATTCACTGGTGACAAGTAAAACTACACTATGTTAGTTCCACTCAGTGTCAGATTCGTCAAACAATGTTCAAGTCTAATTTTTGAGGTTTAAATTCTGCAAACTGCGTCATCACAGCTAGCAGCATGGCTCTGTGGATGTCAGTGTTAGTCAGCCGGTCCATCGCTTTGTTCCAGACTAAAATGTCTGAAAAACTATTACTGGAATGCCATAAAGTTTGAGTTTTGTGTTTCTATTTTGATCAAAGCAGGAGGTGTGCAGTTTTCCAGACAGAAAGTCAATGGGGCTTCACATAGACGTTGGTGCCGCATCTTTAGGCTAACCTCTAGGTGATACAATGGCCTCAGTAGTTTAAAAATACTGTGGCAATAACTTATTACTGCCACAATTACTTATTAATGTTAAAATTCTATACTTTTTACATAAGTGGACACTGACAGAGAGAGTAGGTTGTTTCAGTGTAAGCTCGCTGACTTACTTGAAGGCGTAGCGTAGAAGGAAGCTGATCTTGCCGCAGTTGTCGCCCTGTTTGCCTTCGCCTTGGTCGCCCTTGGGTCTGTACAGCTCCGGTTTGATCTGCCCAATGCTGGTTACCTGCTCCTTCTCCTCGGCGTGGAAATCAGGACTGGAGAGCTGGTGAGTCATGGGCTTGGGCCTAAACAGAAACATAAGAGCTCAGAGGGTGAATATTAAGTGAAGAGCACAGCACACACACACATGGTCACACCAAAAAAAGATGCTATGCAACAGTGTGATTCAACAGCTTAATCAGAGATGCAGTGGCGGGTATACCATCTAAATGGAGTTTACCCACTGTTTTTATTTACATAAGAGTTTACACACCTTTTTTTACACATGTTATCAGGGCTAGCTGTGTGCTGATGATGCCTCTGGAGTATAATCCAAAATTAAAATCTCTTCAAGAATAGAGATATGTCTTGCGTGGGTCTTTTCTGTTTTTGGAGAATTAATATCTGTAACTGTGCTTTGGAAAAATACGTTAATATCAGCCTCATCTTTTTTAAAGAGATGTTTTTTTAGATTAAAACTGCTATGGAGAGGTTGAAAAAAGCCCAAGATGATTTGCTTTTACAGACCTCAAAGGCCTTGATTAAAGGCGACAAAGATTAAAGCCATATCATGCGAACAACATGGTCCTTACCAGTGTGCTCACAAAAAATATTTTAAGCAGGTAAAGCCATCCTTTTTTAAATCATGTTTTTCAATCGATTTTCCTTTACGGATCACTAGCTGAAGGTTCACTCCTGTTTTTATCCATCTCTGAGTTTAACAGCAAAAACACACACAAACAGCAACTGCACAAGGTCTTTTAAACCAACATGTACACATCAAGTACAGTCAAACACTGACCGTGGAGTGACCTGCTGCTGGGAATGAGCGTTGGGCAGGTCTTTATGGGGCTGGGCTCCAACTTCTGAGTTGGGGACATCCGGAGACGTCTGACTCAGCTTCAGAGTTCCTGACAGAGTGAGAAAATGGACAAAACAATTCTCCATGACTCACATGTCTCTTATGTTAGTACCATTGTGGCCTCAGTCGTTACAGTGGCTGAGAACAATGCGCTTGCTTTTTTTTGTAATGCATGCAGCATGGGTGGGCACCATTGATCACATTGATTGTATTACATTGATTTAACAGAGTGATTTAATAGCAGAGAGGAAGGGAAGGAATGAGCAGACATATTTACAACAGCAGAACATGAGCCAGCATGAAAGGCACACACAACACAGAGATATGAAAGGAAGCCATAAAGGCAGCCAGCAAACATTTGACTTAATGATAAACAACATGCACCAGTGTTGACAGCCAGCATAAATACAACACCAGAATGAAAGCTCATAGCTGTAACCCCGAGCAAATCAGGTCCTAAATATCTCTCTGACATCAGTCTTCAATCGTTTGTATCTTATTTTGTTGCTTATTTGAGTTCCTGTTGAGCCTAACTGGCTGATTCCAACCACCTCACCATCACGTGCTTTCTGGGAAGTACCTCTTAAAGCTACATTAATACATATCTTTATGTGTATCTGTGTTAAAGCTGCAACTGTTCGATGGGAAACAGAGAAAAATGCTGGTGAATGGAATTTTCCCATTTGAGAAGCTGGGTTTTTTCTTAAAATGCCTTGACTTTAAACAATAAATTGATTATCAGAATAGCTGTCGATTAGTTTTATGTCAATCGAAAAATGGCTTCAGGTTTTAATTTGTGTATTCATCTTTTATATTTGAAGATTAAATCAAATGACTGTGCAATGTGAAAGGGTTGCTTGGAGGAACAACCCACACAGAATTATGAGCCAACTCGGCAGCTCTGGCGAGCTTTTGAGTTCATTGTTTTTATTTCATGGCACATTTACTGTTTGGTTCAGTTTCACTGCTCGCATTAGCTTTGTATTGGGTGGTTTCAGGCAGCTTTTTCTGCAAACACGCTCTGATAAAACTAGCTGGTGGAGAAAGTAGAACATTTTGCAGCTAAAGAGCGAGATTTTCACAGAGGGTTTGCAGAGACCAAAGCAGAGTTTGAAGAGGCATTGTAATGTTTGGAGCAACTGCGCACTAACATGTTAGCCACAGCAGCCTTTATTTTAGGCGATTAGAGTGCGCAGTGTGCTGCTCTGAGAAATAAATGAATTAATCCTTTAATGAAAGCTGTAATTTGTGGTAATTGTAAATTCAGTTCAAAGTCTGTCTCTCGAAATTTTACTTCTGTATAACTAAGTATGTGCAGTAAAAGACTAGGCCTTGAAAAAGTAATATTCCTTAGATGTAGCAACTGAAAGAAACCCCATTTATATATATAGTAGTGGTCAGCATTCATCACACTGCTGCAGAACAGATAAATTATTTTTACTGTACATAGGTAAATGTATTAAATTCAGTACTCTGTAGTATATTAAATGACAAGTTATTGACCGAGGCATTACATTACTCTTACAGTCAGACTTGGATTAAGAGCTCCCTCTCTCACCAGCATTGTTGGGGTAGGAGTCCATGTCCAGGTAGGAGTGCTCCTGGGTCTCTTGTGGCCCCCCAACCACACCTCCGACCTCACCCCTCTCCAGCCCCACCAGGTCAGAGAAATGAGGGTGGTGTTGGCCCTGCTGGCCCAAGGTAGGGTAGAGCGAGGAAGAGGAGTGGCCCTCCTTCCTCTGCAGCAGCGGGGGTAAGAGCGACGAGCCGCCGGTGCCTCCGAGGCTTCCGATGCCGGCGCTTCCGGGCAGCAACCCTGACGTCAGGCTCAGGCCGCCGCCCTCCTTGTCCCGCCATGGCAGCCAGCAGAGCTTCCAGGAGACGAAGAGGGAGACGGAGAGGAGGACGATTCCACAGAATGTCACGATGACCGACAGCAGACTGACAGAGATCTCTACAGGGGACCGGAGGAAGACATGGAAGGAAGGGAGAAGAAGGTAAGGAGATTGAAAAAAGAAGACTTCAACAGCTAAAAAAAGAAAAAAAGAAAAAACACCACAACACCCACAGTGATGTCTCTATGCAATGTCATCCAGCATTTCCTCATGGTTATTAGCTTTTTAATCCGTGAGGGCTCAAGGACTGTATCTGAGGGGTGGGCGGGTGGGTGTGTGGGTGTGTGTGGATATGGGGGGGTAGAGGATGTGGGTGTTGGGGAGGGTGGAGTATGACTCATCCGAATGAAAAAGTGCACAGAATAAAAGAAAAGCGCCGTTTCAGCACCAGTCTGCCGGACAGCTCCAGCAACAGCCTCTGTCAAAGAGAGCAGAGGAGGAAGAGAGTCGACATCAGCTCCACAGCTAGGGAACTTCTGTAGTTCTGTGTACGGTTTGGAAGTGCACAACTGCACGTGTCGGAGCCTATGATGAAGTAAATTCATGATGAATTCATAAATTTGTAAATACCCTATAAATATTCCATGAATATTTATAAATAAATAGACTAAATATACAATGAATATTTATAATTATCGTGAGCCATTTGAAGTCTCTTTATAAATAGCATGTTTTGGGTCTGATGACTGTCTTGACAAAAGGACCAATCACAGCCCAAAATGAACTGTAGGCCCAGAGCCCTGAACATGAATATTCATGAGTTGTGTGTAGACCGAGAAGACTCATTACGATACAGTGTGCAGATTTCGCTAACCGAGTACGCTTCCCCACCTTTCCTCTCACCATCTTGGGCTCCGTCCAGACCAGAGGGCCTCCAATTAACAATCCTTCCTGTCTGCAGGCAGACCAAACATCACCTTTGTGTAGAACTGCGCTGCCTTACTGTCAGAGGAAAATGTTTCCTGAACCCCCCACCAGTTCCACACAGAGGCCTCCTTTTCTTTAACCCCCTTTTCCTTCAATTTACTTCGACTCAGAGAGTCTTTATGGGCATGACAAAGACATAAACACTGTTAAATCACACAAAAGAGAATGAAATTGTATCTGTATGAGGCTGACAACAAGACTAAGAGCAAATGAGTAAAAACAAGACAACAGCAGCCAATCCTCCAGCCCTGGGGTACATCTTCTGGAATTCGGTTCGCCGTCTGTCTCCACCCGCCCTCCCTCTCTTTGTCTTTCGCTTTCTCCTCTATATAATCCCCTCAAACACCCCTCATTCCTTGCTGTCATTTCTTTTCCCATGCTGTCTGCCTCTGCATGCTTTGACTTTCTTCCCCTCCTCAGCAACTGTCTCTTTGTTCGTCACCCCTACCTTCTTTCCGCCCTCCCCTTCTCTGCCTCCCCTTCCTCGCTCTCGCGTTTGTGAATTATTCATCAGTCTGTGTATGTCATTAATCAGCACTTGTTCAAAAGATATGATTGGGGGGCCGCGAGGGTGGGGGATGGGAGAGGGGGACATCGATCTGTCTCAGTAAAGAACACGACGTGGTGGGATGTGAGGAGCAGGGGATGGAAGTAAGGAGAGAAGCAGGAGAGAACATGACAATGGAGATCAGGAAACAGGAGGAGGGTAAAGTGATGGAGCGGGAGGAAAATAAAGGTAGGACAGTAGTGATGAAGGGGAATGAAAAATACGGATCCAAACCACAGAATGGCCGGCAGGGCCAGGACAGACAGTGAGAGGGTTGAAAACAGATTGGTGCACATGTTGAAATGGACATATAAGCTGACTGGGTTTATTCCCCCTTTTCATTTCCCTTGGAGGAGGACGAGGAAGGGAGGGGGGGGGCTGATAAAGTCGATGCTACTACCACGCCATGTGTGAAAGAGTAGAAACCAAATAGGCCATGGTAGAGAGAGTAAGGAACAGAGAGATGGAGGAAAACAAGCTAACAATGATTTAGAGCGAAACCTAAAGAAGGGGAGGGGTTTAAGGATGAGAAAGGTTAATGTATTGATCCGGAGGGGGAAAAACAAAGTGAGGAGGCAGAGAAATAGGTTGTGTGTGGTTGGCAGATCAGGGTGCACTGATAAGACACGGCTGTGATCAAACGTGCGCGGGCACTGTCGGGGGCCAAACCACTCTCCTCCATTTGTCTCTCTTTAGGGCAGTCACTGTACATTCCCGAGGACTGATCCTGCCAAAGATCCATCGCTAATCCACAAAGCATAAAAAGCAAGTCAGCGGGCAGGTAGGTGGGTGGGTACGAGGCCTCTGAAGTGCACCGTGATGAGGGACTGAGACTACTTGTCAATCAGCGACTGATGCAAGCCCAGGGGGACTCGTACATTGCTCCACATCAAACACATCTCCGCTGCTTACACAAGCCATTCGCTGACAGCTTTTGGCGGTCGCGGTCCTCGGAGGGCTCTGAGACTTCCGTCAGCAAACACCGAAAAATCACAGCTGGTATAAGCGAGGGGCCAACGCCTAAAACCATGGTGTGACATTTCTTCACAGAACCATCCAAATCTCCAGAGGCAACATGCAGCCAATCCAGGCTAATCTACACTGAGCCACAGATACCCACGCTAATCTGCATAATAGCGCATTGCACTTCCAAACACTTCAATGAGAACACACACACAATACTTTGCACACAATAGACTTCACGGTGAGCATGATGCACCTACTCAGTTTGGTAAGATAAATATATATATATTGGTAATCCAGTCCTGTGATAACAATTGTAGAATTCTACCGAGACTCTTTTGGGGCTTGTAAAAGAAATGGGAGCCACTTCAATCTTGCAGATTAATATTTCATGGTTTGTTTTCCTGAGTGCACAGTACTTCTTACTACATTTAAACATGAGCACTCCTCTTAACATTTGCCTCCTCATACCTTAAAGTCTAACATGTGTCATGTTGCTGTATGTGTGTGCAATTGATAAGGCAATGCTGAAGCTTTTGATAGATAATATTCCGAGTCTTTTGAATCTCTTACCGCTTTCATGACAAAACGTACCTTATTTTAAGTGCCTAGTATACTGTTCTTGTCAGGGTGTAAAAGCCTGATTCGGACCATAATGGGATACTAAAAATGAAATGAATTCCTTTTGAGCCTTGTTCACTAGTTTCCTCAAGTACAGCAGCTGTGGTCCACTTGGATATGTTAAACTGAAATCTAAGTTAAATTGTAGTAGTTTTTTAATGACAGATAACACTGAGTATGCGGACAGATGGACTGATTTATTCTGCAGGAGATGTTTGAGAGGTTTTCTGTGGACGTTTGAACACTTTTTTTTCACTTTTTTGGATTATATTTGAACTGAAGTGAATCATGAGTTTTTAACCATGCTGGTGGAACAGCAATGTCAGTGTGGCTTAGAAGGATTACCATGACATTTTGTACAGACATTTATGGCCCCCTTAGGATGAACTGTTAACACTTTGGTGATCCCCTGACTTTCCAACTAGCGCCATCATCAGGTCAAAATTCGAATTTGTCCAAAACTCTGGTTTAACACACTAGGTGACTACGATAGCTTGCTAACATTAGTACATTAGAGTACAGCTGTTACAAGTTGCTGAAAGACTGGAGGGGAAACTTCCTTCATTCTCAAGATATTTTGAAAAGTCTAGACAAATGCAAACATTGTCAAAATAATTTATGTGAAGCTCCAGGTGTGTCAGTTACCTGTGTCCAGCTTTCTGTTTTGACCTCTCAGCAAGTAGGTAAACTCCTGGCAGCGTTCACTCTGGCTGTAACCTCTCGGGGAGTGGAAGCACAGCTCCTCCACCAACACCAGCGCCTTCTTACACAGGTCTTCATCCCAGTCCCCCGACATCCTCCAATCTGCATCGCACTCTCACCAGCAGTCAGCCAATGACAGCGCAGCCCTCGCCGCCCTCACCTATCGGACGGCGCTCAGGTATGTAGAGGGTTGGCCCGTCCACCTTTTACAAGGTGTGAACTGAGAAAGAGGAGGCAGAGGGGGCAGCAGCAATAAAGGAAGAACTGGAGGGGCTCTGCAGGGTGTCTTGGTCTGGATCACAGAGACCAGACTGACGTGCCCATGTATGACTGAGCGACACCCACCCCTCTCACTTTCCCTGGAAGAGATAAAGGGAGAGAAACTGGCAATGTGAGTGTAAGGACATAAAAGTATACAAATCAAGTTTTTGGCACATTGGTCACCTTAACCATTAAGTGAGAACACTGATGCCAAAACCATCAGCGTGTCCCTGATAGATCATTGGCTCCGGTGCTACATAATATCGCTTTAGCATACATTATTAAGAGTGATACTAGGCAACTGGCATCATGCAAGAGGAGAGAAAAGTTGATAGTTGAAAAGTAAAGCTAAATGCTAAAGGTTCAACAGATTTGTGATATACCTTAAAGGTTCACCCATATTATGAAAAAACACATTTAGTCATTTACCACTTATCTGGCTGTTAGCCACAACGGTGAACCACCTGCTGCTACAAAGAATCATAGGTAATTTTACATTTTCTTATGTTTGGTATAAAATACGCCCGGCAAAAAAACTGCTGACAGCGAGGTCTGTGCATTATCCTCATTTACTAGGGCATAATTTCTGGCAGTGCACATGGCTGTTGCATTTTTTAAATATTACATTTTCAATGCTTTGAGGGCCACAAATGAATTTCCATTTACCTTCATTGTAAAGGGCTGGCAGCAGAAGGCTCCTGGGCAAAAACAAAAATCACCATACAGTCTATGTGTGGCCAGAAGACCTATACCAATTAGTTAATGAGTCTTAACTTACCCCGTGAGGTACAGATAAAGTATTTTGAATTTAATTGAATTAGATTAAAAAGCAGCTAAAAGCTGGAACTGTGCAGAGTTGGGAGTTATTTCATGGGTTCAGCACTACGAACTATCATTTAACATTACATTTTATTTAACTGCATGTTAATATCACAAATATGACACAAAAGTATCACTTTTAAATTAAATTTTAATATACTATAGAAGGTAGTACATTTTACATTGTACCTACTAGTCTGGCAGGTGAAGGAGGTAAATGATGGTTATACGTTAAAATAAACCTTGCTGCAGTTGATGTACTGAGTTAATATTTTATTTTCAAAAATTTATAAATGGACACCCTACATAGTAAAAGCCCATTTTCTTAATTTCTATTACTTAAATGTCACTCACTCAACAGGTTGCCTGTTTAATTGCAGGGAGCCCTATTGTCAACAATCACCAGTGGATATAGTGACGATTTTGGTGTTTAAAACTGACCAATGGGTCAGTCATCCTGAAACTTAATATAATATTTCGAAGCAAAACAGTCCTTACTACAATTACAGAGTAATTTAGATAATTATAAGCTCTCTTGTTTTGAGCCCCTAAAACACAAACATGCTGAAGGAACCACAAACAAGGAAGCAGAAGGAAGGAATGTAATAATGATAGGTTATGTTTTTTCAAATTGTTCAACAGATTCATTCTATTGCCTGGAAGAACCACCAGCTACATTTTTCTATATAGATCCATTGTACTGAAAAACAAAAAATCCAAATTAAAGCATTTCATTAGCTTTAATAATGTCATTAAGTCACGGTTTGTGTGTTTTACCTTTATTGAATTTGACTCTCGAGGTTCTGGGCCATGTTGAATTTGCAAGCCAAAGTGGAGACACTCTACATGTAAAATTTTCTTTACAAATAGATTTGGCTGAGGAATGTGAAGTTATGCCTGCAGTGCATGCATAACCTTTAGCTTGTTATTTTCCTAATGTTTCCAAGACCAGAAACGGGAGCCTGCAGACTTTTTGTCTTCAGTGTAAGTTGGGAACGTGGTTGAGCTTAGTCATCTAGCTCCACGGTAAACGGTGGGACACATCTGTTTCCGTGGTCTCTCCAACACATCGGCATGGACTGCAAGTCACTATCACATTCGTGGAGACTCTTTTGAGGCTCTCCAACAACCCCTGAAAAAACAATTAGAATCAATCAGTAAGGTGAAGAGACACAACAAGAAGGACAATGACAAAGTGAAAAACCACAAAATCTCCCAAAACATCAGATAGAGGTATAATTAGATATATTAGGTCTGCCTGCCTGTGCTCCTTATCCTTTCATCCACGAGAAACTAGACTTCTTTAGCATACTGTCTTTATTTTTGAACTCATTCTGTCTAAATAAAAGCAGGTCAATGCCCAAACTCTAGTTTCTCACAGTGTGTGTGAGTCTCCAGGGACTCTGACTGAGGAGATTGTATGCAAAGTTGTGTCTAATAATACAGATCCATTTCAAAAACCCTGGTATTGAATATGTCTTGCCAAATATCTTGTACAAGTCGTGGTGTGATTGGGAAATAAATCACTGGCCAAACAATGTTCGTGGTGTGAGGTCAGCTCACTTTTCGACCGAGCTGTTTTGTCCTTGTGCAGCAGCGGACCTATTTCTCAAGCAAGGTGTCTCCTCGGACAGAGGAAGGACTATTGATCATTTGATGTATGTTGTTCTGTAAAGTGTCAGAGTCAGTCTTTGGGTATTGAGTGGCACCACCCTACCAAAGTGCTCCTTATGTGTCCATCTGTCTCCCACCCATCAATCAATCACCGCATTAGGCAAAGACATATTTCACTCTGAACAAGATCCGAAACAAGAAATGCTTCCACTCCCTTTCTAGTTTTCTCCATCTCCTCTTGAAGACAGGAACACATTTTTCCTCTCTTGTTCGCCCTCCGTCTCTGTCTCTTTTGAGAAGCTGATTGTCACATTAGGATAGTCTGTCAGTCTAAAGGAAACTGCAGAGTCTATTTATCCGTCCATCTCAGCTCAACCTATTGTAGAAAGGAATTTGAAATTAGCGAATCAAAACGCCATCCAGACCCAACATCCTACACCAGCCCTCCCCTTGCCCCCCACCACTCACTCCCATTAAGATAGTAAATCTGTCTGAGTGACTTTAAAACCCAGGATATCGCAATCTGAGGAATGGCTGTCTGGCACAAAACTGGCCGCCTCAAATGCCAGTGAGAGCATCAGGAGGGAGGGAGAGGCAAAGAAAAAATGGAGGAGACAGAAAGACAGGGAAAGAAAGAAAGAACGATTGTTTAGCAAGAAACAGGGGAAGAGGGAGACGGCGAGATAGAGGGATAAGAGATGCTGGCATTAAATTGGTGGCGAGACAGATAAAGAGAGAGGAGAAAAAAAACTGGAGCAGAAAAGGGCAGAAAAAAAAACATAGGAAGCTGGCGGCGAGGGTGACACAGCAACAATGGTAATCAAGGGTTTGGGGATGCCATTTACCACAAGCAAAATATTTACAGAGACTAGTTATTCACAGATAAATGTGCCTTCAGAAACATGTCGACGAATCATTCCACTCCAATAGTGCCATGCCCAGAAATGCACATTCCTACTGTAGTGTACAGAGCAACACTAAACCTCCCACAGACGCTCCATTGACTGCTGTTCTGCCTGGGATCAATACTCTCAAGGAACGAATAGACCACAACACAGACCAGTCGCCCAGTAAGGTCACTGTCCGACGGGGCAGAGGAGACAGGATGGCATGCAAGGTCACAGTCTAATCAGACTAGGAATCAGTCTGAATCAGTATACGGGGGGTCCCGTCCAATCACACATCAGAAAGAAGAGGAGAACCGGAGGAGGTCAGCGCCCACTCATGGGAGAGGCAGGCGAATCAGATCTTAAGCTAAATCTGAGGGAAAAAAAGGCCAATTCACCAGAGAAAATGACCAGACACCCAGCAGTGAACATCAATAGACATAATCCCAAATTCAAGGGTATTTCAGTGAGAAAGAGGCTCCGAGTTCAACTCTCCACTGTCGTCCTTGACCAAGACACTGAGCCCCTGCCCCAGCCCCTCCTGTTAATCACTAAGGATAAGAGCATCAGCTAAACGTCTTATTTTTAATGGCTCAGTCCAGCCATTTCATCCTCAATCTAGCTTATAGGCGATGAAGCAGATGAGGCGTTTATGTTTGTATCCCCTCATAATGAAGGGATCATTCTTGTATTTGCACAGAAAGGACAGATTTGGAGCCGCCCTCAGGTGCGCGGAGAGCGGAGAAAAAGAATCCGACAAATCCAATACAAATTAGAGTGAGGAAGAACATCCAAAAAGTGTGCAGACAAAAAAACAACTCGACACAACACTCCCATTTCTTACTGCTGGGGCATACACCAATAAATATTTATCTAATATCGAATACACTCACTCACTCTTTTTTTGAGTATTGGATTTCTTATTTTTTGGCTCAGCACTCCTCATACAAGAATTCCAGTAGTTTTCTCCATTGCTCAGAAATTCCACTGAAAACAGCAACAAACAAAAATCCTCGAGCAGGGGGCGAATGTGAATTTGATAAAACCCAGGGGGCAGGTTTTTCAGTAACAAGGATCATGTTAGAGAGTGCGACTGAAATCCAAAATCTGTATGTGCAATCTGTCTCTGAGGGATGAATCACACACCTCAGCTGGGTTTGGGAATTACAGTGATAAGGCATTTGAAACGCCGCTGTCTGCTGAATAAGAAGCAGAAGATGCTTACCACGAACCTGTGATCTATTGCAACCCCATATCATCATTTGGCATTTCATTTTCTAGTCAAATTATATATTTGTCTTTGCGTGGAATAAAACATGTTGAGCGTCTGCAACAACTTTAGCTTTTCCAGTTCAGAGGGAACTGGATCAATATTATTAGTTGTAGCAGTGGAAGCAGTCGTAGTAATACTTTGAGTTGCCTCTGAGTTTCATTTTAGAGTTTGCCTAACAATAAGGCAGGTTTAAGATCATTTTCTTATTCACTTTACATAAAAATCTCCTCCTCTTCGCCTCCCCTTTGTTCATTAAGCTAATAGGAATGACTCTTTATCGCTTAGTATTTTTATGGGAAGAAACTGAACACCTTCATGATTGCAAAATGGAACTGAGGACCGTCAGACCCTTTATTTGCGCGTGAACATAATGCTTTTGTAGACAAAGGAGACTAATCCTTTGGATATACCTAATAGGATGTTTCAGTCGGATCTCACTGAACCTGCTTTCAAGTCGCCCCATCCGCTGCCACGCTCTTTCTTTTGTTTTCATCTGTAC